AGCGCATAGTGCACACAAATATCGAATTCGAATGATTTTGGTTCGTAGGCATGGAGATCCGTCTCGACTGGCTGCTGTTGCATCAGCGGCTTTCGTAAACATAACAAAAACAAAGTGGAACTATTTCACATTTTCAGCTGCTGTTAATGTTTCAGTTCAAGCGGTTCAGTTACTTGTTTAGGCGGATAAGTCAAAAGTTCCTGCCGTAAAATCGGCCACTGCAGCTACGACAAAGAAAGATGGTGCGACCAGCGAGTCGAAACGCGACACTGAGAAAAAAGGCAAGGATGAGGACTCGAAAGCGAAGGTTGCTGGCGAGAAGTCTCAGACCGATGCAAAAGGGAAAAGCACCGCAGCGTCAGCCACATCAAAGCGTGAGGAGACGCGTAGCAGTGACCGGAAGAGGGAAGACAAGGAGAAGCGTACATCTACGGGCGATCGACGTGACAGCGGTACGCGACGCGTTTTCGCATTGAAATTGAATGACTGCTGCTGACGTCTGTCATGAGCGCTTCGTTTTTGTTCTTCGACGTTTGCAACACCGTCATAGCTAACTATTTTATTAGAAGTTTTCCTTTTGATTATGTTCATATATTTCAGAAAGACCAAGAGCATCGGATGCTAAGCGAGATGCCCGCAGATCGGCGGCTCGTGAACCTCGCAGAGGTGCTCAGAGAACCATCTCCGCTGCCCGACGCTTCCCAATACGTGGTGTATCCTCGTACTCGCTTCGTGGACGCATTACTAGACCAGGTGACAGAGGTGCTTATATGTCGTCGGTTCGTCGTCCTGAAGCGATGAGTCAACGTGATCTGCTAACGATGCTCCGGCACAAAGAGGAAGAACATCGTCGCCGAGAGGCGGAGATTGAAAAAGAACGTGCCCTTGAGAGGGAACGAGAACGTATTCGGTTTGAACGTGAGCAACTTGAGAAGGAGCGCCTGCAATTGCAACTGCAAGCAGCGCTTCAACAGCAGAAACTCGCCGCGATGAATTCATCGCGCACGAAAGACACTTATGCTCCGTCTAGTCGGTTGGTAGTTTTTGAAAAAAACATGCCAAGTGGTCCTGTTGTATGGGGACAGACGTAAAGCACAGGGAATGTTAAAAGTGGTGCTAACACCTCTNATAGGCTGATCAAGTAGATCAAGCTTCCTCAAAAGCCAAACAGGGCCTTGTTCTTTGTAGATTGAAATAATGCTTGATCGAATGAATTTTTAAAAGCCTTTTGTTTTNAGAAGAGAATTCTCACATATATCGCTTTGACACCTGTTGGATTACATCCGAGCCAGATTATTACAACTTAGAAGCATGGGATTTCGAAAGTTTGGCATTTACAAGAATAGGGCTATTTTGGCCTACTTCTGTTAAACGCAGGAAGTTTCTGGGGCTGATATAAAGGGGAAGGAAGTCGTTTCATGGCGGCAATGTCGAGAGTATGAATGGACATTGAGTATTGCGTAATTGGATAACTACAAATTGGAGGACACTTTTACCCGCAAAACTGCGGTTGCTTAGCTTGCAGGCTTCCCTTTTTGGGAAATGCTAAGCTTTTGTCTCCAACTGAGTTGACCTCTCCAAAGACCCATGTAGCATTGAAGTTTGGTCAAAACGTTTTCCATTCGTGAGGAATGTCCGAATGAGCTTTGCGGGGTCCGACTTTGAGGTCCAGCCTTTATGGATATCCATTCCTTCCTGGATGCAAGATTTTCGAACGATCACCCTTTATTACGAAAAGAGGGAACTGCCCGCTGATGTGGTGGGTACATTGGATCAAGGGAAACGCCTCTGTTGAAGCTATTCAAATAATTGACGCTCTATCGTGTGAATATGACGATCAAGTCAGTGCGAGTGTCAAAACGTACAGAAAAATTCGGGCAGGATTGTCATTCTTCGGATGGATAATGCAACATTTTCTGGTCCCTGAAGAAAGGTACCTAATTTTCGCAGAGCACTCGGTCTTGTGGGGTTTTTTAAAAACTATGTACAGGGCATTGCATTCGCAATATCAAGATATAGACTGGACAGTTTTGGAGTTTACTTTTTAAGCTAGAGAACCAAGTTATTAACAAACTTAATTAAGCTGACGTTTTGGTGCCTTCACTTTCCTCGGAGCCTGGAAAGACAAAAGGCATTCGAAAAACCATTCGATCAAGCACTTTTTCAATCTACAAAGAAAGTTCAGAAGGCGTGGATTAGGAATTGGAAGTTGTTAACTAACCTTTGGGGCACTCGACCTTTAGGGTCCAGCGATCACCCTAAGCTGGTGTGGCTGCGGACTAAATAGGTTGAGCCTCTGATCAACTTGCCTATAGGCTGATCAAGTAGATCAAGCTTCCTCAAAAGCCATACAGGGCCTTGTTCTTTGTAAAATAATGCTTGATCGAATGAATTTTTAAATGCCTTTTGTTCTTCCAGGCTTCGAAGAAGGTGAAGGCACCGCAGCGTCAGCCTAATAAAGTTTGTTAATATCTCGGTTCCACAGCTCAAGTAGTAAACTACAAAACTAAAGGAAAAATCGGAGATTTATCGACAGTCGCACGTGAACATAGACAGGACAATCCCTAATTCAAAGTCTTCTATATTCTCATTTATACAAACAGTTATTTATTCTCTGTAAAATGAACATCAGTGTGATGATTGAAAAACGGCTCCATCTTCCATTGTGGTCGCCATTTCAATTGACGCTTCTGCAGCACTACTGTGCCTGTCTTTCTGGAAGACTGTCCGTTACAAAACTTCTTGTAAGACATCAATTCGGGTGTTCGTGCCGTACAACAAGTATTGTAATGAGTTCTCCTAGAAAGCACTCTAATGATTAATGCTCACCTCGCTGCTCACTTATGAGTTTCGTTTTACATTTCATGACTACTATGGCAAAACACCGCCTTCACACAGTCTTCATGGCATTACCGGTTAAGCCATCCTTTGGTGTTGGCGTACCGTTTCTGCTGAAGGAGTTCTAATCAGAGACAAGTGAAAATTAATGTTAAACATCCTCACAAAGAAATGGAGAAGAGCTGTTAGGACGCGAGCATTGCACGGGTGCTATAGCCTTAACTGAAATAGACTGAAGTAGACACTAGTGGCGGTTACATATGAAAATGTCAGTCTTCAGATTGAAATTTGACCTTTGATAGAGAATAACGGATGCTTGTATATCAGATCACCCTCTCTCAGTATTGCTTTGACTTTTGGTGGCGTTACCGATTTCAAGTATTAAGGGATCATAGTGTCAGTCGAACTATCGTTGCTGTTAAAAATTTCTAGCGTGCATTCACTGATTAACTGAAAATATTTATCCTCATTTCACAACACAACATTTCACAAATATATATACGGATTGAGTGCACAACTATCGCAAGGTTCATTAGTTTCCGCATCAAGTACCGTGGAACGATGAAAGCACCATGGTGTTTCTAAACTAATTCCGCCTGTCCCTAAGTCGGCGTCAGTCAACATACTACAGGATCTCTTGGAACCATTGGTTATTGATTTCCATAATTATAACAGTATTTTTGCACAGTGGATCTCGACATGCAGAATATCGCTCGTCTCGTGACAGTAGGGCAGAGAAGATCAGTTCATCAACGTCCCATCATCGTTCAGTAGCTGATACCCACAGGAGCACAACAGAATCGCGTTCTCGTCGCGGAGGAAGCACTGACAGGTTTGTTATAAAACAAGTTCTTCATAGTCGAGCTTCTGCAGTGCAGTACAAATCCCAAACTTTCAGGGCTGATCGTGATCGCTCAGAGCACAAGCACACAGCTTCAGGGGCTGCAAGTAAGTCTTCCGACTTGTGCCGAATTCGCTTCTGAAAGAATACATTTCAGGTCGTGAACGAAGTCGCCATGAGTC